TAGCTATCTATTTCTCTCAATCTGTCAACCTATCTACTTCTCTCTCTCTCTCTCTCTCTCTCTCTCTCTCTCTCTCTCTCTCTCTCTCTCTCTCTCTCTCTCTCTCTCTCTCTCTCATCTCTCTCTCTCTCTCCTCTCTCTCTCTCTCTCTCTCTCTCTCTCTCTCTCTCTCTCTCTCTCTCTCTCTCTCTCTCTCTCTCTCTCTCTTTCTCTCCCTCTCCCTCCTTCTGGCTTTTTCTCTCTCCCCCTTGCTCTCTGTCTTTTTCCCTTGTCTCACCAATTACTTTTCCTTCTGCTCCAACCTATATTTCCCACTTCCTGTTCCTCCCTGTTTTATCCCCGCCCTGTTGTTGTTCCTAAATCAGTTTCTGTTGTGGATTTTGAACACGTTTCGAACCTGTTTTTTTCTCCTCTCCCGACATCTGGCACTTCACCCGGAGCGCGAGTTGCCAATTCTCAAAATATTTGCCGGAAATTCTAGAGACATTCGATGGTGTTCGGAATTCCACTGTCTTCCAGAATCTTCGTCGAGGTTCGTAGTTAACGGGGTAGAGTCAGCGTTGATTCTCTTATTCCGTAATTTTGTTAATTTTGTTAATTTTGTTTCCTTCTTTCTGAGGTCTGAGGTGCGTGGGACAGTATGTCAAAATGCGTGACTGTTTTTTTTCCTTTTATGATTATTATTATTATCATTGTTATTGTTGCTGTTATTAATATGATCATTATTATTGTTGTTGTTATCAATGTTATGATCATTATTATTGTTGTTGTTATTAATATTATGATCATTATTATTACCATTGTTTCTGTTGTTATCGTTATCACTATTATCATTATTATTATGGCTTTATTATCATCATCAATATCGTCAGTATTATTATCATTATGACTATCACCATTTCCATTACTCTTGTTATTATTATTATCATTATCATTGCTATTTGTAGTAGTAGCAGTAGTAGTAGTATGTGTAATGGTAGTATCATTACTATTATTATTATTATTATTATTATTATTATTATTATTATTATTATTATTATTATTACCATCATTATTATTGTTATTATTGTCACCATTGTTAGTATTAGTGTTATTGATATTATTATTATTACTAATATTATCATCATCATTATCATCAACATTATTATCATATTATTACCATCACGGCCGTCTGAATCCTTATCATCACCACCATTCATCACCATCCTCACCACACACATAATCAGACATTTTCATCCTTTAATTCCTATCCCTTGCCAGACTCTCAATAGGTGTTTTCGAATCGCTCGTCACTTCATTAACGCTATCATAAATAAATCTTGCAAGACCCCCCTTGAAATCATAATCTTCCCGTTTTCCTTTTGATCAGAATTCTCTCTTTAACGAAAACTTATTTATTTATCGAACTCATGAATCCGATTCACGTCAAAGTCGATCGGGTATGTAATTAATAATGATATAATCTCGTTCTCCATATTTTATTTGATTCTACTTGACCCTTCATAGATCTAATAATTACGAGATTTTAGTTATATTATAATAAATGGGAATATTATAGTCGGCCTAATATTCCTATTTTCTTTTTGCTTCGCCGTGCAACAGAAAATGGGAGGGCTTTAAGAGGCCTAATTCTGTACCCAATGTGAAGCCAGAGTTGCCAATCAGTGATTATGGGCCGGATTAATCAAGAAGGGACCATTACGTGTTCGTAAATAACGTGCATATCTCGTTATATCGTATTTTTCATTATTATTATTACCATTTTCGATTTCCTCCGATTTTTTCTTCTCATTTTCTTCTGCTTTTGGTTCTTTGTTTTGGTGTGTTTTGGGTTTCTCTTCGTTTTGTTATTGTTTATTTCTCTCTCTCTATCTCTATCTATCTGTCTGTCTGCCTGTCTGTCTGTCTGTCTGTCTGTCTAACTATCGATCTAAATCTCTGTCTCAACTCTCTCCTGCTCTCTCTCCTTCTTGTTATCTGTTATTATCTTGTTATCTATCTATTTTTGTACTTATCTGTATCTACCTATTATTGTATCAGTTTATCAATCTGTATATAATTTTTTTATCTCCGTCTTTATCTCTCATTGTTTTCCTCTCTCTTCTCTCTCTCTCTCTCTCTCTCTTCTTCTCTATATATATCATATATATATATAATATATAATATATATATATATATATATATATATCCCTATCTCTCTCTCTGTATCTATCTATTCGGCAGGCAGTCTCTATAGATCTATATTTGTATCTGTCTGTATCTATCTGTATCTGCTAAACTAGTTTTTCTCTTTCTATCTCTTTTTCACTGTTTTACTTTACCTCTCTCCCCTCTCTCTCTCTCTCTCTCTCTCTCTCTCTCTCTCTCTCTCTCTCTCTCTCTCTCTCTCTCTCTCTCTCTCTCTCTCTCTCTCTCTCTTCTCTCTTTTTTTTTTTTCTTCCTCTTCTCTCTTTCTCTCTCTTTCTCTCTATCTCTCCGCTCTATCTCTTCTTTCTATCTATCTCTCCACCCCGTTCCATTGAGCCACCCCTCCTACCCCTTTCTCCCCCCATCCCCCCCCCCAAAAAAAAAAACATTCAGACTCAAGTTCATTTATCGATCACATTAGGAAACACGTCAACCCCCCACCTCCCCCCAACCCTTCCCTTCCTTCCCCATCTCCCAACTCCCCCTCCCCCACCCGAGCTTCCCTTCTCTCCCCCCAACTCCCCCCACCCCCCACCTCACTCATCCCCACCTCCCCCCCAAACTCCCCCCCCAGCCCCTTCCCTTCCCTCTACCAACTCCCCCCCCCCACCCCTACCTTCCCTCCCCCAATTCCCCCCCCCCCACCCCTTCCCTTCCCCTCCCCTCCAAACACCCCCCACCTCCACCCCTACCTCCCCCCACCCCCACCCCCAAAACTTCCTTCCCTCCCCCAACTCCCCCCACCCACACCTCAGCCCCTTCCCCTCCCCCCCCCCCCACCCCCACCCCTCCTTTCCCTTCCCTTTCCCTTTCCTTCTCTTAGGTCCTGTGTTTAATGGGTAAGGGTCCCTTTTTATGGCCTATAAGGCGAGGCATTGATAGTTCCTATATGGGGGTGGGGGGGGGAGGAAGGAAGAAGATGGAGGAGAAAAGGGGGGAGAAGGACAGGGGGTGGGGAGGAGGGGTGGTGGAGGAGGGGGATGGGGTGGAGGAGGGGTAATGACGGATGGGGGGAGGGGGGGAGGGGGGATATCTACAGGTCGCTGATTTCTCGATGGTCGTTAACTATTCATTCCTCTGTCTCTCCTCTTTCTTTTTTCTTTCTTTCTTTCCATTCCTCTCTCTGTCTGTCTGTCTGTCTAACTTTCTATCTATCTGACTCTCTTCTTATTTTCTTTTGTCTTTCTTTGTCTATCTTATCCCTATTCTCTCTTTCTTTCTTTCTTTCCATTCTTCTCTTCTCTCTCTCTCTCTCTCTCTCTCTCTCTCTCTCTCTCTCTCTCTCTCTCTCTCTCTCTCTCTCTCTCTCTCTCTCTCTCTTTCCACTCTTCTCTCTTCCATCTCCCACTCTTCTTCCTTCTCTCTCTCTCTCTCTCTCTCTCCTCTCTCTCTCTCTCTCTCTCTCTCTCTCTCTCTCTCTCTCTCTCTCTCTCTCTCTCTCCAAGTTTAATTAATCACTTAAAAATAGAGCTTTTGCACAGGAAAGTTTATGACTTGTTTAATTTTACCCCAAAAAGATTAAACTGAACAGATTAATGAAGGAAAATATACGAAAAGTCCATCTAATTATAGTCGAAAAAAGGGAAAATTGATATTTATTTATTCATCGTGTTTATTTCAAATAGATTTTATTATTCTTTATTTAGATCAATATCCGGTAGACAAATTGATTCAAAAACAGCATACATCACAATTGGATACGATATATACATTATATTCATGATAGGATGAATACTGGAAAGCAAAGACAATATGTTAAATAACGTTCATTATATATATGTCTTTTTCTTATACAAAAAACAATTAGCATATGGAATTTTTGACTTATATACAATGAGGAATATATTAAAAAGTCTAAAATGTGTAAAATACTTTTATATTTTCTTTCTATATATACTGTAAAACAGAGAAATGTTGTACGGTTTATTTTCCTCAATTTTTTTCCTTTTTTTCCTTCTTTTCCAAAACGTTTCAAAATGTCCTAATTGTTTATCTTAGGCAGTGTCATTCTATTTTTTCTTTCTTTTTCTTTTTTTTTTTTTTTTTTTTTGTCCCATCACTGTCCTCAATTTTTTTTTTTTCCACTTTAATCTTACGTGTAACAAAAATAACAAAATCTATATTTCTTATTTACAATTAAACATCATTTACATATCACTCACAAAGACCGACCGTGCAAACAAGGGGCGGGGAGTCATAGTTTGCGGTCGAGGAGGGGGGGGTTGGGGGGGGAGGGGTGGCTGGGCGAGAGGGCGTGTCCAAGAAGGGGGCGGGGCTTATTCATTTCATTTTTTTTCTTCTTTTTTTTTTTATTCCGTTTTTGTTTGTTCGGAGGGGGGGTTCTTTCTGTTTTTTTCTTTCTTTTCTTTGTTTTGTTTGTTTGTTTTTTTTCGTGTTTTGTTTAATTCCTTGTTCGTTGTTTTTTCTTTTCTTGTATTTTCTTCTCTTTTTTTCCTTTCTTTTTCTTTTCTTTTGTTCATTTCCTGCACTTCCTTGAGTTCTATTTATCTCACATATCCTTCTCCTCCTTTCGTTTCTCTTCCCCCTTTCATTTTAAAATATAATGTCAAATCTCACCATTATCCTTCCTCTCTTTATCTCTCTTTTCTTCTTTCTACCAAGATTCAAGTTTTTTTCAATACATCACTTCACAATATCGTTCCACCTCTTTTCATTCACTATACAACCACAAATTCTTTCTAATTCACTATAAGTCCTGAATCAACCTTATCCGAAGCCACTCCATTATTCACCAACGAAATAACAGTTTAATCTATTAATCCACTTTCTCTTTTTTTTCTTCCTTTTTTTTC